TGATAAAAGAAACAAAGACACTTAGTCCATGAAGAATCAACCATCCCAGACTGGCAGCTTGGGTCAGAATGGAAAAGACTGACTTTCTGCCCATTTTGCAGCTCTAAGGAAAGCTGACCGTGGGCAGACCTGGAGACCTTGATGGAAACTTTGGGTCTGAGAGTGTGTGACATATGAAGTAGTAACCCAAAATATAAAGCATAGAATATGGCGAAGCCCAGACAGCATAGCACAAGCATGAGATCTGTCCTAACTTCTTACTAATATGGTAAGACACCATCAATTTATAGAAGAGTTTATTTGGGGCTTAACAGTTTCTTAGGGTTAGAATCAATATCATTGTATCAGGGAGCATGGTGGTAGTCAAGCAGGTGTGGTCCCGGAGCAGCTGCTGAGAGCTTACATCTCCAGCTACGATAAGGAAGAAGCACAAACATCACTGGGGATGGCAGGAGGCTTTAGGAGCCTCAAATACTGCCCTGTGACACACCTCCTCTAACAAGACCACACATCCGCAGCCTTCCAGAATAGTTCCATCAGCGGGGGACCAAGTATTCAAACAATTGAGCCTATGAGGATAATTCTCATTCAAACCACCTCAGGGTTCAAGATCAGTGAGAAAAGTCTGCGAATAAGAGAAAGGTTCTACCGCTGTATGTCAGCCAGTGTTGTATTTAGAAACGCAGTTATCCTAAGATGAAGACTAAATTAAGACAATCGGAGGAGAGACCAGGCTTGTGTGATTAGTAGAATGCAGCAGAATCCACTCCTTCTGATAGCAGGATACAAAGGACTTAAGCTGTTGTCGTTGGATTTCCTTCAGTTTTCAGATCAGTCTCAGTGAGTTCTTACTAGATGTGTATGAGTGGAGGAGACAAATATAGTATTGCTCACCTGATCCTCTCATTGTCCTTTCGATGGCTTAGGTGGGGACCAGAGCTAAGACCTTTCTGTGGTTCTCACCCCCACCAGCTCCACCCTTACCCATGAAAATGAAACCAACTTCTCACTTTCATGCATGACAGAGGAGAAAGGCTGGGATGGTACCCCTGACGTGGCTCTTCTCTTTATTTGTTTGTTTATTTATCTATCTATTTATTTATTCAGTATTCTAACCACAATTTCATTATTCTTTGTGGAGACATTTTGACACACTGGAAAATAATTCTGGTGGACTATTTGTCTAGCAAGAATCTGTCTCTTTGACGATCAACCATATTGAGCCCAAATTTATTCTCCTTCCAAACTAGATAAAAGTTAGAATGGGCTTGATTTATATGTTTCCAAGGGAATAAAAACTGTCTTCAGACACCTGCTTTGTCTTTCTCATTTCAACTTCCACTTTCAGACAGTTGCACACACACAAAAACTTAAAAACAGTACCTACCAACTTCATTATCTCTAAAAGCGTCAACGTTACTGAACTCAGAAGTCTGTTTCACAGTCAACGTTTTACCAGCATAAATTAATTTGTGAGTGTATATTTGTCACTCACCCTTTAAACATTTAATAAATATATACCACTTGCTTACTTCTTGAGGCACCAAAAGCACAAAGACTCTCTGTTGAGTGGCTCATAACTGAGCTGCACCAAGGACAGATAAACAAAAACAGACCTGGTGTGCTAAATTACTTATTGTTTATTCGAAGATTGTGGGAATGATTTTGTCATGCTTCTGACAGAAAAAATTTATAACTAATATAGCTCTTACAGTCAGGAGTAACATATTTGATAGGTAAATTTAGAAAGGAGAAAGAATATGCTGTCTAGTAGCAGGTGAATGGATAATGAAAATGTACACATATACAGTATGCTTTTATTCAATTGTAAAGGAAAAAGGAATTCATGAAATTTGCAGGAAAATGGATGCAACTGGAAAACATTATTTGAGGTAACACAGGTTCAGACAGACCGATACCATGTGTTCTCTCTCATGCGCGTCCTAGCCTCTAGCTACTGCGTATGTATATGTAGGTGGGGATAAATATAGATAAAGGCCAGGAAACTAGAAGGGATCCTTGTGACTGGGGAGAGGGGGACTTAGACGTGGTGATGACAACAGAATAAGCAGAAGGGGCAATACTGCGGGTGACAGGGTACGGTGGGGACAGGAAGGAGTGAAATGAGGACTGGGCATGTGTTTGGAGTAATCATCCAAAGTGAAATGTGCATGAGAAAAGCCCTATGAAACCTTACTTTGTAAGTTAATTTAAAAAGTGAAAATAGATATTTTTCAGTGTTGATTGTCACTGAAACTGGAGTCTTCCAAGAGACCATGCTAGGCAAGGGGAGTCATTATTCATATTATGAGAAATATGAGACATAGTATGTCTCACATTTATATCTGTATAGTAGTATAGAAATGTGAGGGTTGGAATTAGGTACTACTTACATCACCACATTTCTTCATAGTATTCTTTTTACTACATTGACTTAAACACATTGGGGTGATGGGTGAGTGGGCGATGGAAGAAGCCAGAAGGGAAACTAGGAAGATTGTGCTATTTGGCCATTTCACTCGCATACTCTTAGGAAAGAAAATCTCGTCGGCTTACAGCAAACTTCACAGCAAGGAAAATAAATGTTAACCAAAACATTAACAGCTGCCATTTGCAGAGAGCCATGCATGGTAGGCACTGTGTACATCATCACAGCTAACTCCCCTGGGTTCCCACACTCCCCAGATAGTGGAACTTTGTTCTTTAACTCCCCATTTTGAGTCCTGTAGTAGAAGCAATATAGAGGGATTCCATTTGCTTTGCAACTGAAGACATAAAAAAAAAAGGATCCCTTCACCTTTGACCTGAAGCTACTTGGTACTTTCAGATGGTGAAATGGGGCCAGAGAGTTGTCCCAGCAGTAAAGGTTTCTACAGTCAGGTCAACCTTAGTTTCATCCCTAGGATCCATATATCGTGGAAGGAGAGAACCGATTCTCCAAAGCTGTTCTCTGACTTCCAGATGTGATCGGTTGTGTCCACACACATACTAACACACCCACCCCACACTGAACAAATCAGTGAAACAAAATAAAAGTTAAGAAGCTGGTGAATAGGTTGTCCCTAATGGCAGAGGTAAACACTGTCCTGCCTGCCCTTCCCTGGCAAAGCTGGGCATAAAGGACTTGCTTGCTTCTTGGTATTACGACTACAGGTGCCTTCCTTCTGCTTCTACAGCTAGAGCTGGGAAGTTGAGACTGTTCCTACCTAACCCAGTCTAATCCTCTTCTGGGTCCCACCCAGCTTTTGTATTCATTCAGAGGCCACACTAACCTCTTACATAGTGCACATATGGTATCCGTGTTACCCTGTCCCAAGGGAGCACAGTGGCTGGCTCTGCTAATACAAGCACCTTGAAATTCCTGTAAACATTGCTCACTGTTTTAAGGAGAATTGTAGGTAGGGGAGTAAGGTTGGGGGGAGACAGGTACATCTGAAATGCTTCTGAATAGAGCAATAGCAAAACAAACAAAGACCCGACATAGATAGGAGTCCCAAATATACCACAGATGTTTTGTTGGAGACCCTGATCTCCCTTATGGATGGTTGGAGACTCAGAGTCACCGTCCTTTAAGCAAAGAACTCATCAGCTCTATTTTTAAAGGCCCTCAGGGGGAGGTGCTTGCCACCGGCGATACTTCCTGGACACTTCCTCTTTATGGGATGCTTCTATCCTGATGTTCTCCCTCTCGGCTTTTTTCTTTTCTCCCGAACTTTGCTCGTGTTTGTGGTATTTAGACATGCTGCTTTCTCCCCTCCGTGTGTGTCCTAGGATTTGATCTAATTGTCCTGCTGTTCAAGTGTCACTTGGCATTATTACTGGGATGATGAATGGGACCCAGGTCACAGTTCAGCAAGAAGGCATCTGCTTGCTTGCAGAGCGTAGTGGGAGCACTTCGAAGTGAGCTTTAGTGAAGGCTTGGAAAGCACTTGCCAGAGGAGGCAGTGCTGTTTCTGTTCTTCTTCCTTGGGGTACAGAAAATGAGTGAGCAGAAGACAGGAGAGCCTTTCCAGAAAGTTCCCTGTTTGGGGTGTCTTTCTAAAGTAGGGGGGAAGATGAGGGTATGTGTGCTGCTGTGTGATCACAAAGTGATAAGAAAATGGCAGCTTGTGAATGGATACTAACCATTTGCCTGTTTTGTGCAGACATCACTGAGAAAGTTTCCACTCTGCTGGCAAAGCCTCTCACCCTCTGCTGTCCCGTGGCCTCGGGTTACTGTGTCTTCGCAGGCTCAAATTCTCTTACTGGATTCTCTTAAGTTGACAGTTCTTCCGCTTAGCCGTGGGGTCAGAAGCCCCAACTGGTGAAAGCCTACAATTGCTTCCGCCCTGGAGACAAGTGGGACAAAGGTTGCATTGTTCTCTTTGCCCTCTTGAGTAGGCAAGAGTCTTCTCCATCGAATCTTGACACCCAAGGAGGCTGAATCCAGGGTTCATGGTGATTCGCCTTCTTTCCTGTCCCCGTTATGTGCCTTTCTGTCCTGAAGCCATCAAAGCTGTTTGGGCGACTCGGGGACTGCCTACCCCACCCGCTGCTGGTCACAGAGTGGAAGTTGGCAGGGAAGAAGGAAACGCAAGTCAAGAAGCTCATTTTAGTCCTGCAGCCCGGGTTTCTTTGTGGATCCCTGGGCAGATGTCATGCGCTGGCTCCTGGGATTTCTTGATCGAGGACTAAAAATATCCAAGGCAAGTAGAACGCGGTGCTACCCAAGACTGGCAGCAGAAGCGGCTCTTAGGTGGGTGGGGATCCCGCCAGTGGCTTCTTCCAGCATGCAGGAGCCCGGGAGTCCCCAGGCAGGGAGCAGCCAGGCAGCAGGATTCCCCCCGGCTGCCTTCCAAGAACCCCGCTGAGCCCCCGCTGCTCCCAGGGGCACAACCTTGTAGGCTTCACGCCCCAGCTCTTGAGAGCAAGCTCGGTACCCCTCTCTGAGCATGCGCGGCCCTCTCCCCGCCTCTCCGCCCCCCCATTGCCCCCTCCCCGCCGGCCTTTTGCGCCTTCTCTTTCATTAAACAAACCAGAGATCCCAAACCCCAAAACCAGGACCCGAAGGCGAGAGGAGGCAGCAGAGCTCGGGATGGTCGCTGAGGGGGATCTGTGATCCCGCGCACCCCAGTCTCCTGCGCGCGCGCGCGAACACACACACACACACACACACACACACACACACACACACACACACACGCACACACACGCACACATACACCACACAAACACACACTTGCACACGCCCGCGCCGCGCGCTCGCCCGCTCGCTCTCCCACGCAGGCGGAATGCAGCAGCGCCGGGGGGAGCTTTTCTGCAGCCGCTGCCTGAATGCACCGCGCTGCCCGCAGCCGGGCCGCCCAATAGGGCGCAAGGGAGGAAGCTTAGGCCACCTGAGGTGAGTGTGGCGCCTGCAGCACCCGGGACAGCTGAGCCTGGACAGCTGGGTAGAAGAGGCAGGTTTCGGACCCGATGACACCGTGCAGGTGGCCCACGCCTGGTTTGCGGGTTTCGAGGTGCACACCAAGGATAGCGCCCTGGTTATTTAGGGGAGGAAAGGGCGATTCCAGGGAGGGTCGTTCCCTGCGAGGTGCCAAATGGAACCAGAAGCTACCCTGTCCAGGCTCGTAAACTTTCCTCTCCTGTCATTTGGCAAACGTGGAGACAAAGGGGGCGTGGAGGCGCTCTCTCTGTCCGGTTCCGCCCTTCAGACTGCATTCTGGGCTGGGATGCCCAGAGGCATCGCGGGGGTGGGAGTGGGGGTCCGGAGCCTCGCAGGTAGTTGGTGCCCAAGCCGCCCACCCAACAGGGGTTGAGCCTTCTCAGCCTCTCTAGCTGTAAGCATTGCCTTTGATTTGCTTCAGGCGTGGGCACCTGCGGGAGGTTCTCTTTCCTGAGCTCCAGGCACATAGTAAAGGTATCACCTGGAGAATTGGGATAACCATGGGCTTTCTCGTCCACACCAGTGACAAGAGTTTCTAGGGGGAGGCTTGGGTCATTGCTGGATGAATGATGAGTTACTGAAAGGCTTGGCATAATCACCTCCTAGAAACGCAAGGCCCCAGGGTATCTGCTTGGGGAGGGGGTGTCGAGGGGAGGAGGTCGCTCTCCACACACACCATGCAGCAGCTCTAGGGACTGGACTGAGACAGCTGTGGTGGCCGCGGTGTCAAGCGAATCTGGGAATTTATTTTTGCTCTGAATTTGATGGCACACACGTGTGGAGTATGTGTAGGATTCGGGGCTGTTTGTCTTTGTGGGCTTCTCGTTTTTGCTTTCAACCTTCTCTGGGCGATGCTTTGCCACCAACCACCTGGTTTTCCGGTTGGTGGACTGGCACGGCTGTATTTCTCTTCTGCACCGGGGAAAAGGTCCTGAGCAAGGAATTTCCTTTTTAAAAAGCCAGTCCCCGGTGAGGCAAGCTCGCCTCGCGGAGAGAGCAAAGGGCCCCCTGCACCCAGGGAAAGCCTGGAATCTAATGACCCTTTGAGGTAGCCAACACTGGGTCAGCAGGTGAAGCCGGGACAAAGAAGAATAGAGAGGAATAGCAGAGGGGCAAGTCAGAGGTGTGGAGGAAAGGAGTTGCAGCAGGATGACGTCCAGTGCCCGGCGCTGTGAAGCTTTCACTCAATTCACCTCCTTTCTGGGACTGTGGTTGGCAGTTCTAGCTCATGGAATGGGATCTGGGGATGCCCTCGGTGTCATATCTGGAATACAGAAGACTAGGTTGTTCCCAGGCTTGTCTTTGTCATAATCACAAGTTTGTTCTTTTTAGGTAGAGAAAGTGTGTGGATTGAAGTTTCTTCATCCTGCGGTATTTGTGTCAAAAAGGTGGGGTGGATGCCCGTGGGTACAGTCGGTTTTGTCTTTTCTGGAAGCCAGAGTCTGGAGTTTGTAAGGGAGGACTAGCTGGTGCTGACAAAGAATGCTGGGATCTAGTACCAGTGAGTGGGTGATAGTAGAGACGGTCTTTCTCACGTCCAGATGGCAAGTGGAGGCCACCTCTCTGTGCTGATCCCAACGTGGAGCAGTTTTGCTTTGAAAACTTTGGGGCTTTGAAATGGGAGAGAACTGTAGCCTATGTGAGCTTCACAGAGAAAGTTCCCAGGTGATACTTTGTCTCATAAGCTTATGAGAGCAGGGGAGGTTTGGAAGAAGAAAGGAAAATGGGGGTGGGGGCATTGAGAAAAGGGAAACACAGGATTAAAACAGCCAGGTTTTATGACTGTTAAAAGGGTGTTCAGTGAGAGAGAAATCTCAAAGTGTTTTTTATCTTTGTCCCTTTTCAAATAACGGGGAAAGAAAATGCCTTCCCAGACATGCTTTCCAGTTGAAATTGGCAGAGTTTTAAAATGACTGTCAGCCTATGCCCTCCCATCCCCCCCCCTTTTTTTTTAACTTCAGGGTGACAGTCTCATCATTATTCTCAAAAATCTTGGCAAGAAAAGATGAACTTCCCCTTCTTACTAGGGTTCTTCATCTACTCTCCTCTGGTCCCCTCCCTCTTCCTTCATTTGCAACATCACTTTATTTTGACGACACGCGGATTCTACTGATGGGTGCTTACCAACCTGCATTTAGTACCAGAAGCTGTATAAAAATATATAACGTAGTTCTGGCCCTCTGAGTGTTTACATGAAGCAGCCAGAGTGCGATGCCTACGCACTACACTCTACTCCCACCCTCCGGATTCTCTCAACATTTATGAAACATGCATCAGTACTTGTTGCTGAAGCCGGGAAGGAACAAAATTAAACAAACAAAACACAAGAAAGCAAAAGCTGGTTCGAACCTTTAAGGTTAGTGTATAACTAACTTATTGGTACAGTAGTAACAGCGTACAATCAAGTCAGCAATTTGCTTTCCTTCTCATGGGAAATTTAGGTGATCCTTGGGATATTTTTGAAAAAAAAAGTCTCTACAGGGAGGGGAAGATTGAAAGGTCATTCCAGGCAGAGGAGATGTGTGACTGCTTGATATAAATTGGTTAACTGTAAGTCATCCCGTGTACTAGAGCCTTACGGGAAAGAATAGCGTGTGGGTGACACTAATTAACCACTGATGCTATGGGGTGAGCGTTTGCACAGAGATATGGCCAGGATGCTATAACATCAGCAAGGGAGAGTTTCCAGCAAAGGGAAGGTGGGAAGAGCAAAAGGCTTCTTAGGGAGTTTGACGTGAGATGTGTCTTGAGCAATGGCATGAAGAAGAGAAAGACTTTCCACGCAGAGAGAGTATGCAAGTCCCAGAAGGAGCTTTGTGGGACTGCAGTAAGAGATGCAGGGTCTCATCTCCTTGGAATGGAATAACAGCACGTCACAGAAATAAGCCAGAATCACCTATGACTGGAACCCCCGCCCACCCAGCCACAAGCAAAAGAGCTTCAATTTTGTTTAAAAGCCGGGAAGCCTTTGAAGGTTGGGAAAGTTTGAGACGTGATCAGATGTGCATTAGAGAGTGATGATGACCATGACCACAGCGTGGAGGATGGATTGGGGATGGTGAGCTGCAGGCCTGGAGCTTACTGTGGGAATGTAAGTGTGGAATGACAGGGACGGTGAAGTAGGGGTGGGGAGGAGATGTATCTGGGAAACAAGAGGTGGGAGTAAAAGCTGCTACTCTTCCTTATTCTGCTCATCAGCCCCCACCCCCTCCGTATTCACAGCTGGCTTCTGTTTCCTGCTTTTTGAGGGCAGGACAGTCACTGCTGTATCTTCAGCATTCAGACCAGGACTTCTGTAAAGCAGCATTGCAATACACACTCACTGAATGGGTGACTGAATAAGGGAATGAGAGGTTCAATCACCAAGGGATGACTCTGCATTAGGAAGATGGGAGCTAAGTCGTGCCCTCTGCTTCTCTGAGGGTTCACTCTTGGAGGCGAGAGACAAAAATGTTCTAGGGGGACCGCAGATTAAAACAAGAACACATTTTCTCAGCTTGATCTGTGAAGGAATGCTAATTCTTCACAGAGTCACTGTGAACAGCATTGAGCCATCATTTTAAAACAGGTATTGAAGAAATTAGATGACCAGCAAATCTTGGAGGCAGTGAAAATAACACACACTGCATGTCAGACCCCTTCCCCTTGCTTGTCAAAATATCCTTATTTAGTGAATTTACCGAAAACTTTATAAGTAAGTTGGAACTCAAGGGTCTGAAGCTTCAGGGTCTCATTTGAGAGCTCATGGCATCTTGACATCCTTGGATCTTAGCCAGACACCCACAGAACAACTTGGGGGAGGGTCTGTGTATCTTGTTGATCCAAGTCCACACATCTGGAGTTACAATATGAAGGTCCCAGTAGGAGACATCAGCATGAAGCAAAAGGAGAATTTGTTCTCAGACTGACCACAGTGCTGAAGGAAAAGCACATTCCAGACAGCACCGTGTATTTGATGATTCGCAGCTGTACAGGTGATGGCAAAGGAGGGAGGAAAAGATTAGTCAGGGAAGGTAAATGGATTCCGTTTTGCAGAAGTGGATTTGGGCATTTCTCTGGATCATCTTTGAAAGTACTGTAACGTCATAATAAATGTCAAGTCTTCTTGCACTAAGGGGGAGGGTAGAAAAGGAGTCTATCAGTCCAGAGTTGAAATCTCAGCACTTGATCACAGGTAGGGATAAAGGAGAGAATCGAGCTCCAGTATGGGAGGTAGGAATGGGCTTTACAGGCAAGGTAGGAGAGTTCTGGTATGGATGCAAAATGTCTAGGGGAAGTGTGAGAGGGATGGTTAGACTCCAGAGATGTGCCTTGGGTCAGGCCTTGTCTCAGGACCCACACAGGGAATCTGATTTGCAGTGTGCGTGAGTCCTCGACTCCGAGACAGGTCTTAACAGCTTTGCTGTGAGATAACAAGCTGGTCAGTATCAGAACAAGCTCTCACAGCTACTGGGGTTATCGGTTATCCTTTAGTCTGTGTCCCTTTATTGAAAGTGCCAATGACCAGGGTGGCTTTAAATGAGGAGGGATGCCAGCATAGAAAGTAGAGAACCGCAGACAGACACTGAGCAGACCTCCCTGGTGACAGTCGGAAAGGCAGCTTTGTACGACAGTGTGCTCAGAAGCCATATTTCAGAGTCCGGAGGGGAGTGGAGGAGAGCATCCAGGCATGTGCATCTATCCGTCATTTGTGAAGTCTGGCAGGGGAGAGTTATGGGACCACTGGGGAAGGTGCAGTGAGCTTGCAGCAAGTTCTTATCAAGGAGGAGCAGATGGAAAGAGGTAGTGCTCGAGAACAAAAGGTGCAGGGGAGGGGAGCAGAGAGCAGGGGAGCAGGGGAGGAGAGCATGGGACAGGGGAGGGGAGCAGACACCAGGGGAGGGGAGCAGAGAGCACAGGAGTAGGGGAGGAGAGCAGGTGAGGGGAGCAGAGAGCAGGGGAGCAGGGGACCAGGG